AAGAGTCTGTACGTAAGTGTACATAATCTAGACTAATAATAAAAGTAGGTAATACTGGGCTTGTATGGGTCAGCACACACTTTAGACGTGCATTGAGGTAAGCTAAGAGAAGCTTAATGCTTGTGAAAATGAAAATATGGAAACTAGAAATGTTTCACTGCACAAGGCAGTCTCAGTATGATCTTTAGGACGAGCGCATAAAACCAGAGTACAAGAGTCTTCACAAACAAACCACACTGCAGTTGAGCTGAATCTGATCAGAGCTAATGAATAACGCTGGAAAACTCTTCAAATATGGATTCTTTAAGTTGCTCAAAAGTACTTGCTGCAGCAATGTCCAAAGCTAACTGTTTAATACAAAACATTGTAAAGGCTACAGGACTAATTAAGAAACACATCTCTAGGTTTGTGGTAGCACTTTCATCTCTAAGGATTTGTGTTTCCTTAATGCTGATTTAATCTGACTGAGCCAGTCACATAACCGAGGATGCTGCCTCAAACTAAGCTGTTGTCTTTATGGAGGGAAGTATAGTCCTAAAACCCCAGGTGCTCTTCAAAGTATACTATTTTATGCTTAGCATTTTGAATGCTAGCAGCTAAAAAACAAATTAAATTCCAGTACGGGGGGACACAAAAATATATTAGGAACCTTAAGCAAGGCATTTTATGTTTTTGGTTTTTTTTAATGCAAATATAGAGAGGCCAATATGCCCAAATGCACCAGGAATGTAAAAACTGGGATTCATAGATTCTAGGGCTGGAAGGGACCTCGAGAGATCATCGAGTCCAGTCCCCTGCCCTCAAGGCAGGACCAAATACTGTCTAAACCATCCCTGATAGACATTTATCTAACCTACTCTTAAATATCTCCAGAGATGGAGATTCCACAACCTCCCTAGGAAATTTATTCCAGTGTTTAACCACCCTGACAGTTAGGAACTTTTTCCTAATGTCCAACCTAAACCTCCCTTGCTGCAGTTTAAGCCCATTGCTTCTTGTTCTGTCCTTAGAGGCTAAGATGAACAAGTTTTCTCCCTCCTCCTTATGACACCCTTTTAGATACCTGAAAACTGCTATCATGTCCCCTCTCAGTCTTCTCTTTTCCAAACTAAACAAACCCAATTCTTTCAGCCTTCCTTCATAGGTCATGTTCTCTAGATCTTTAATCATTCTTGTTGCTCGTCTCTGGACCTTCTCCAATTTCTTCACATCTTTCTTGAAGTGCGGTGCCCAGAACTGGACACAATACTCCAGGTGAGGCCTAACCAGTGCAGAGCAGAGTGGAAGAATGACTTCTCGTGTCTTGCTCACAACACACCTGTTAATGCATCCCAGAATCATGTTTGCTTTTTTTGCAACAGCATCACACTGTTGACTCATATTTAGCTTGTGGTCCACTATAACCCCTAGACAGGGCCCCCCAGAGGATTCAGGGGGCCTGGGGCAAAGCGGGGGAGCTGCGGCGCTTGTACTCACCCGGCGGTGGTCCGGGTCTTTGGCGGCATTTCGGCGGCGGGGGGGCCCTTCAGTCACTCCGCATCTTCAGCAGCACTGAAGGATCCCCTGCTGCCGAAGACCCGGACCACCGCTGGGCCAGGGTTTGTGGGGCCCCTGCGGGGCCCGGGGCAAGTTGCCCCACTTGCCCCCCCCTCTGGGCGGCCCTGCCTCTAGGTCCCTTTCTGCCATACTTCTTCCTAGACAGTCTCTTCCCATTCTGTATGTCTGAAACTGATTGTTCCTTCCTAAGTGGAGCATTTTGCATTTATCTTTATTAAACTTCATCCTGTTTACCTCAGACCATTTCTCTAATTTGTCCAGATCATTTTGAATTATTTCAGAAATGTAAAATGAACAGGTAATTATACAAGTTCCTGGGTGTCTATAACCCATGAAGTGCACACTATCCCCATGACATAGACTGTTGTCTTCTCCTTCCAAATTCAATTTCTGCAGTATCTTGGCAGAATTTCTTTTGAAATTCTTAGACAAGGAGTGTCTAAGCATTGTAACTTAAGTTTTGATTCTTTGTGACAAGACCAGCCATTTTAAGGCTAAAGGTTTAAAGGGTGGCTCCCATGCCTCCATTTTATAAATTCTTTAAGCTGCGATTTTTAAATTATTAATGCTTCAAGAGAATGCAAAGCCCGCACTGCACCACTGATTTTCAGCAGACATCATCAGCTCACTGTCAAAACAAGCAATTTTTCCTGCAATATGAAAACCTTTCCATAACACAACCCAAACCAAGTTATATTTCTCTAAATCTGTTGCCATTATTTCAGAGAGTAAGAGGATTATAATAGAGGTGGAAAACCTCCGAAGATCTGAATTTCTTCTACAATGCTGCTGCTAAAAAATGTTGCATTTGATATGTTCAGTACAGTGAGGGCTCACATATAGGAACTATTTAATAATGAAAATGTGAAGTTAAAAATAAAATAGAAATAGTTATCAACTCAATGTCAACTGATTTGGCACTGCAGAGTAAAATACCTGCTTTCTAATAACATCAGCTTTTCATTTCACCAGCCTGCCCATTCTTATAAGCACTGTATCATGTTTAAAGCAGATTTATAACAGAGCAAAACTAAATGGAATTCAAATAAAAATTCTTGCAAATGTTTCTATAGTAAGTCAAATGAGTATCGTTTTCAAACTGATGCTGTTTGTATAGAAAAAGTCTAACCAAAGTCTAAATATAAAAACAGACATACTGGGTCACACCAATGGTCCATCTAGCCCAGTATTCTGTCTTCCCACAGTGGCCAATGTTACATGCTTCAGAGGGAAAAAAAACCCAAACAGGGCAATTATCAAGTGATCCATCCTCCGTTTTCCAGTCCCAGCATCTGGCAGTCAGAGTTTGAGGGACAAGAATGGAATATATTAATGTTATATTACAATGGCATGATAGATGAATTCTTTAACATATTTTAAAATATCTTTAATTCGATTGTAACAATATCAAATGATATTACCTCCCCCACCTTGACTCTCTTATATCCTGGGGCCAACACAGCTAGGACAACACTGCTCAATTAGATGCATCCTGAGCACTGAGGTCTGGTATTATTAGTCTGTTATCTAGGCTTCATAATAGATTTGATTCCTCTCGTTCCAGTATATGTATTCTGAATGGGAACAGATTCTGCTCCTCTGAGCTCTTCGGCTCAAGAGATAAAAATTAGTACTGAAAAGTAAGAAGGGGACAAGCCCAGTTTGGAGACTATTGTGGCAGGAGATGTCATTATACTGCAAGAAACAGGGAGCGCTTCTCTCGCCAAAATTAAATCAAACTAAAACACATCCGCTACTGGAGCTAACTGATTTTAGACAAGATTCCAGGTGCCATGTTTCAAATAAAAGGCTGAATACAGAACAGATATAAGAGATCTGATGGAAGAGACCTGCTCGGTCTTCTGGGACTTCTACTTTCCAATGCAGGAAAAAGTAGCACCAGATAAGCATGAAGCAATGCTTCAGTTTCAGAGGGCTTTTTACCGTCCCGGTGGCTTCCCTTAATATGAGTGTGACGTGGCAGATCCACATTACACTGTGTTGGTGGTTAAAAACCGTTTTAATGTCTGCAGGTGTGGGGGCGAGTGAAAGGTGCTGGCAACATGCTGGAATCAGATTCTCACAATAACCAGTCCCTTATGCAATGAAAAGATCTTCCTCTGCCGGCATGTTAACACACAGGGTGAGATTTCCCTGCAGCACACACCTTGCTGGTTCTGTTGCAGAGCTGAAGGGAACATGGTGTTGTGATGGGTTGGGTCACAGAAACCCCCTTTGGGACTGCCACCTGATGTGCTTTGACTACCTCTGAGTCTTCCCTGCCAGCTTAGGACTTCAGCGCCCTGCCTGGTTTGAGCCAGACAAGTTTGCCTGCTACAAACCCAGACCCAGGTCTGAATCACATACCCCAAAAGCTGCAGGCTTAACTGAAAACAGCTTAAAAAGTGTTCCTGTCTCCAACACTCAGATGCCCAGCTCCCAGTGGGGTCCAAACCCCAAATAAATCCGTTTTACCCTGTATAAAACTTATACAGGGTAAACTCATAAATTGTTCGCCCTCTATAACACTGATAGAGAGATATGCACAGCTGTTTCCCCCTCCCCCCCCCCAGGTATTAATACATATTCTGGGTTAATTAATAAGTAAAAGGTTATTTTATTAAATACAAAAAGTAGGATTTAAATGGTTCCAAGTAATAACAGACAGAAGAAAGTGAATTACCAAGCAAAATAAAATAAAACACGCAAGTCTATGCCTAATACAGTAAGAAAACTGAATACAGATAAAATCTCACCCTCAGAGATGTTTCAATAAGCTTCTATCACAGACTGGATGCCTTCCTAGTCTGGGCACAATTCTTTCCCCTGGTACAGCCCTTGTTCCAGCTTAGGTGGTAGCCAGGGGATTTCTAACGACTGTAGCCCTTTTTGTTCTGTTCCACCCACTTAAATATCTTTTGCATAAGGCGGGAATCCTTTGCCCCTCTCTGGGTTCCCACCCCTCCTTCTCAATGGAAAAGCACCAGTTTAAAGATGGATTCCAGTTCAGGTGCCATGATCACATGTCACTGCAAAACTTCATTACCCATTTGCCAGCACACACGTATACAGGGAGACTTACAAGTAAAACAAAGCCATCTGCAGACAATTGTCCTGGTTAATGGGAGCCATCAAGATTCCAAACCACCATTAATGGCCCACACTTTGCATAATTACAATAGGCCCTCAGAGTTATATTTCATATTTCTAGTTTGAGATACAAGAATGATACATTTATACAAATAGGATGACCACACTCAGTAGATTATAAACTTTGTAATGATACCTTACAAGAGACCTTTTGCATGAAGCATATTCCAGTTACATTATATTCACACTCATTAGCATATTTTCATAAAATCATATAGGGTGCAACGTCACAGGTGTATTTAATGGGAAAGGGCCCACTCCAGTCTCCCACCCTCCCCCCAGTTTGCTCTTACTGTTGAAGAAGTTCTTGGCCCTGAGATAGCTGACGCTGAGGCGCAGGATGGAGAGTTTATCCAGGGTAGAGATGACCTCCTCAGGGAAAGGCAACAAGCTAGCCAGCCGCTCCAGCTCCGAGTTCAGCCGATCCCTATGGCGCTTGGAGGGGTTCGACTTCACACCTTCTGGGGGCGGCGGCTTCACTCTGCCAGGGGGAGGAGCAAAGGGAGACACATCACAAACACACCTGTGCCCAGGGAGAGGGTGGTCCTCTGCAGAGTTCTCCAGCACATAGCAAGGGTGAGAGAGGGGGCTATGAGGACTGGCTGCCGACCTCTACTCTTGATTTCTTAACAGAATGGGAGCTCTTACTTCAACCCCTTATTCATTCCTGCTATTAATACGCTTCTAGCACCATGCACCCTGATCCCCAGATGAATAACATATGGCCCCTGCCCCCGAGCGCTTGCAATTAACTCCTTTGCCTCAAAACAAGAATGAACTGCAGCTGTTCTTCATGATCCCAGTCAAAGACCTGCCAAGGGCAGCGGGAGGGCAGGGACTTCAGCAGATGTTACTGAGCATGCTCAGTCAGTGTGAGCACACTCAGTACAAGCCAAGCAGCAACTGGGGGCGGGGGGCACATGATCTTGCATGCACCCCTCCACACACACACATCGCCTCTGATTCCAGTTGTTCCTGCCATCATGTTACCAGACTTCCCAACCCTAACAATGGCCTTTGTCGGTCACTTGCCTTTCATTTACCTATGCAAAGGGCCATGCCACTTTTTCCAAGGACATTTATCTGTTTCATTTTAAACAAACGAATCCAGGTTCAAGAGGACACTTGCTCAATGCATGAGGTCAGGCGCCCTGCTTGCTTGCCTCCTAAATCTACTCTAGAAGTTTTACGACTTTGAACCTCTTCCCTTCCATATTTTAGCCTGCTCTTGTGGCTGCAAGGAAGCAAGTGTGAGAATGTCACAGACTTTAGCCAGGCAATCCTGGGTCACGGAGTTCCAGCCATTCAGAGTTTATACTGGTCAAAAAGGCTTCATATTTTTAATGTATTTTAAAGATTTCTACCCAGCACTTTAACCAAACTTTTTAACTGAGTATTAAAATTGACCATTCATCCCAATGAACAGATGCAAATCAACAGGCAAACCATTTGTGCCTGTTAAATTAATAATTAGCTCATACTACATGATAACCAGCCCTTTATTTTAACTGCACTGCCATTTTAGTAAATTGTGTCTCTTGTACCTATTCCCTAACCATGAAGAAAAGCAAAATATGAAAATAGTTTTGGATGGTGCACATCTGGGTAGAAAGCACAGACCTGAAGATGTACCACATTATTTTATCAATAGTAATAAAATAATTCAGTGTGAACACTAGAAAAGGCAAGGGATAATCTGAAACCCACACACTCCAATTATAAAAAGAACATTTGTCTTTTTTTTAAAAAAATCTATAAAATAACTAAGGCACCTCTTTTAATTCCAAATATCTGCCATGGTCACTTCTTTTAGGGCATGTTCACAGGATCTGAACTGGTCTAGCCAAGCAAGGGGGCACCGTAATTAATCTTTGAGAAGGTTATCAACTAAAACTAGGTCAGCCGGTGAAAGGACAACTATTGTTCACGAGTATCTTTTTCAAATGGAGGCTACTAATGATTTAAACAGAGTTCTTTATCAGAACATGCCCCATGTGAAGTCTTTGAAACCTTTATATAGAACTTCCCAGACCAACAGTGGATGACAGCTCTAGCCTATCTCGTATTGAAGAAGCGGCATATGGTGCAATAGCCATGCACTGACCATCCCCCTGATGCAAATGCACGCAGACCATAGATGGTGCATATGTTTTCAACAAATATCCTGCATAGGTTCTCATGAAAAGGGGTTTTTTTAAGGAAGGGAAGGAGTTCATTGGCACCATTTTACCAAGGCAATTTCACCTTGCTGGCATTGCATCACAGCGCCTCACTAGCCTCAAACTTTGGCTTTTCCTCCTTGGCAAGGAGGAACATCCGCAGCTGGGAAATACACAGAGAAATCTAGTTTCAACCGCTGCCCAGTGGAAATCCGTAGCAGCAGAGCTAGGGAATGAACGAAGGGTTTCAAGAAAAAGAAAAAAGAAAAAGAAAAAAAAAAGAAGAAGAAGAAGAAGGCGGCGGGGGAACGCGGCACGGGGGGGGGGGGGGCGCGGCGGGGGGGGGGGCGCGGGCAGCCGCGGGGCAGGCACTGGGGGCAGAGACCTTTGGCAGGCGGGTTGGACTCATTCTCCCCGCGAACCCAACACTTGCTCTGTCAAGTTTTGGGAGCTAAAAGGGCAAAGTGCCGCCTGGGGAGCAATACCACCTCCCCCACCCCCCTCCCCGCACGTGCACCCCAGCTCCAGACACCCACCGCCCCCCCTGCGCTGCTGCCCCCGAGGCAGAGCTCCCCGCCAGGAGGCCAAGCCAGCGCGGCAGGTTCGAGCCCCCCGCCGCTCCTCACTTACGTCCTCTGCACCGGCTTCCTCCTCTTGCGCCCCGCGTACATTGTCCCGGCTCCTCGGGGGCCGCCTGCCGGCTCAGCGCAGGAGGAGCGGGGGACCAGGCCACTCGGGGCAGCAGCCGGCCGCGCCTGGCTCAGCGCGCTGCGCCCAGGGCGCATCGGGGCCGTGCCAGCCGGGGGCGCATCTTCTCCACGCCCGGCTGCTGCTGAGCTCCGAGCCGCTGGCCCGCGGGCAAGGCAGCCCTAGCTCCGGGGCACCGCAGCCGCTTCTGGCCGGGCCGGGACTTCGGGGCTGCTCATCGCTGGGCAGGGCGCAGTCACGACCGCTGCCGCCGGGCTGCAAAGCTCCCTCGCCAACCAGCCAGCCCCGCTTCTGCCGCTGCTCCAGGCAGCCCAGCCCGGCGCCCCCCTCCCGGCGGCTAGCGCACCCAGCCGCCGCAGCAGCACCTTAGGCGACCCCCGGTAGGCCAATGGGAGCGAGGGGAGAGCCGGACGCCGGGCATCTCCTGGGAGCCGGGCTGCGCCTCCCTCTCCGCTGGGCGGGAGAGGAGGAGGAGGGATGAAGGCGGCTCCGGCTGAGTGAAGCCTCCAGGCTTGGCTGCTGTGGGCGCAGACGGGTCGAGGTTGGAGCAGGTGCCTTGCTGCGCTGGGGCTGCGGGGGTAAGAGCAAAGCCCCAGCGCAACCAGGCTAGGAGAGGAGACTGGCTTGCCACTGAAAGGCCCTGGAAGGGCTGGTTGCCAGCTGAGCCCCGGCCACACACACTTGTGCCAGGCGAGAGCTGGAAAAAAGGCAAACCAGCCAACTGCAAATAATGCCCCTGGCTGAGCGCTGTGTTAGGACTGAATGCAAGACTGCTTTTTCATAGCCACAGGGACCACTGTGACCAGCTCGTCTGACCTCCAGCATGGCACAGCCCACAGCCCTGCCCCAACATCATTCCTCCAGCAGCCTTGATTTAACAATTGTCAGTGATGAAGAAGCCACCACCGCTCTGGTCAGCTGGTGCAGCAGTTAATTACTCTCACTGTTAAAAATGTACACCTTACTTCCAGTCCAAATTTGTCCAGCTTCAACTTCCAGACCTTGGATCATGTTAGACCCTTCTCTGCTAAGTTGGAGAGCCCATTAGCCAATATTTGTTCCCCATGGAGCTAGTTATTGACTGTGATCAAGTCACCCCTCCACCACCTCTTGTTAAACTAAATAGATTGAACTCCTTGAATTTGTCACCGGAAGGCAGGTTTTCTAAGCCTTGTGGCTCTTTTCTGAATCCTCTCCACACCAGATCTGGACCAAGTATTCCAGCAGCCATATATAGAGGTAAAATAACCTCTCTACTCCTACTCAAGATTCCTTAATTTATTCACCCCGGGCTTGCATTAGCCTTTTTGGCCAGAGTATTGCACTGGACTGTCATGTTCAATTATCCACCCATATGTTTTTTCAGAGTCCCTGCTTCCCAGGATAGAGACCCCCATCCTGTAAGTATGGCCGACATTCTTTTCCCCTAGATGTATACATTTACACAGAGCGGTGTTAAAACACATGCTGTTTGCGTGCGCCCAGTTGGCCAAGCTGTCCAGATGGCTCTGTATTAGAGACTTCTTCTCTTCATTGCTTGAACTGAAAGCACAGTCCTTCGTTGCTTGTGCAAAAGGACCCAGCTTGAAAGTCCCAGGAATGTTTTGGTTTTCAAGACATTTCACAAAATATTATTTTGAAAAAATGATTTTTTTTTCATTTCCCCTCTCTCCACCTTTTCACCACTGAGTGCAATAAACTTAATAATGTCCAGGCAATATCCCTCCAACTTTTTCCTTCTTCCTCTCTAACTTTTCAAACCTTCTCCAACTTTGGAAAAGTTGCAAGAGAGCAAAAGAAAAAAAAACTTTTAAAAACATTCTCAACTTTTGCAAACCCTGCAGCCTTGATCTAGCCCCCTTGTACATAATTTTTTCACAGGACCCCAGACTCCACAGTTTGGGAGCTGAATTAAGGTTGCCTGGGCAACTATAAATCTGGCATCTCCCCAACTTTTTCATACTTAATTTTGAAACCTGAGTAATATTCTTCGTATGTAGTCCTTGTGTGTAATTTGTGTATATATTCAGTTTTGGGACAAGCACCCAAAGACTGGTGTAGGTGCTTATGATCCAACTGAAACAGAAAAATAAAGGGAAAAAATGCATTGCAAAAACATTTTGACCATCCTGTAGTGGAACAAAGCCGTTGATGGGCTGTCATCTTTGTGACGTGCACTTATGAAGGACATGCTTGATCCAAAGTGCATCAAAGTCAGTAGAGAGACTTCCAATGACTTTAGCAGGCTTTGGATCATCATCATTCTATTCCAGAACCCCACTTTGAACAGCATACTTATTTATGCAATTACTGAAGATTCAGTACACGTCCCAGTGCACACCTGTACAGACATCAGCACCTGTAATACACACCTTAGAGCTACTGCTCCTTTCCACCTTTCCCCCACCCTCCCTTCCTGAAGGAGAAACTCTCTGCACCAATAGCAAGCAAATCCCATGGCTGGCAGAGATGTTCATGCTAGGAGTGGTGACTCCCCCACAGACCGGCTATGTCAATTCTGCAGCTTCGTCTGACTTGACAATGAATCCCTGTTCTGAGTATCTCCCTCAATATTTTGATCAGCTGGAGCAAAAATCTTTCTGGTGTCACTTTCCTGGTGCTTGAATTCAATTTACAGCTTTCTCTAGCGACCACATTTGAAAATTGTGCCTTTAAAAAAGAAAACCAATAATGCCTTAAACATCTCAACATATCACATTTTGCTCTCTAAATCCTTCCCCTTAAGAGGGGAAATATTTAGTTTTGCAACAGACATAAAACATTATATTATGTGATATACTGTACCTTGTGGTAACTTGCTAAATTGTCTGACTTTGCCTTTACATCATTTCCCACCTCTCAGTATCATCAGCAGCACAATCTGGTAAGAAGCAACAGAGGGTCCTGTGGCACCTTTAAGACTAACAGAAGTATTGGGAGCATAAGCTTTTGTGGGTAAGAACCTCACTTCTTCAGATGCAAGTAATGGAAATCTCCAGAGGCAGGTATAAATCAGTTTGGAGATAACGAGGTTAGTTCAATCAGGGAGGGTGAGGTGCTCTGCTAGCAGTTGAGGTGTGAACACCAAGGGAGGAGAAACTGCTTCTGTAGTTGGATAGCCATTCACAGTCTTTGTTTAATCCTGATCTGATGGTGTCAATTTTGCAAATGAACTGGAGCTCAGAACTCCACTGGCCATCACCTACAGTCCTCAGCTTAAACCTCTCCAACACATCATCAGTGATCTACAACCCATCCTGGATAATGATCCCTCACTTTCACAGACCTTGGGAGGCAGGCCAGTCCTCGCCCACAGACAACCCGCCAACCTTAAGCATATTCTCACCAGCAACCATGCACCGCACCATAACAAGTCTAACTCAGGAACCAACCCATGCAACAAACCTCGATGCCAACTCTGCCCACATATCTACACCAGCAACACCATCACAGGACCTAGCCAGATCAGCTACAACATCACCGGCTCATTCACCTGCATGTCCACCAATGTTATATATGCCATCATGTGCCAGCAATGCCCCTCTGCTATGTACATTGGCCAAACTGGACAGTCACTACTTAAAAGGATAAATGGACACAAGTCAGATATCGGGAATGGCAATATACAAAAACCTGTAGGAGAACACTTCAACCTCCCTGGCCACATAATAGCAGATGTAAAGGTAGCCATCTTACAGCAAAAAAACTTCAGGACCAGATTCCAAAGAGAAATTGCTGAGCTCCAGTTCATTTGCAAATTTGACACCATCAGATCAGGATTAAACAAAGACTGTGAATGGCTATCCAACTACAGAAGCAGTTTCTCCTCCCTTGGTGTTCACACCTCTACTGCTAGCAGAGCACCTCACCCTCCCTGATTGAACTAACCTCGTTATCTCCACACTGATTTATACCTGCCTCTGGAGATTTCCATTACTTGCATCTGAAGAAGTGAGGTTCTTACCCACAAAAGCTTATGCTCCCAATACTTCTGTTAGTCTTAAAGGTGCCACAGGACCCTCTGTTGCTTTTCACAGATTCAGACTAACACGGCTACCCCTCTGATACAATCTGGTAAGGACAGTTGAGGAGTGAAATGTTTAGAATCAAATAATTGTAGAGATAAGACCAAGGGTACATCTACACTACCCGCCAGATCGGCGGGTAGTGATTGATCTATTGGGGATCGATTTATCGCATCTAGTGTAGACACGATAAAATCGATCCCCGATAGCTCTGCCGTCGACTCCAGAACTCCACTGCAGCGAGAGGCAGAAGTGGAGTCGATGGGGGAGCGGCAGCGGTCGACTCGCCGCTGTCCTCACGGCCAGGTAAATCGACCTAAGATACGCCGTTGCGTACCTTAGGTTGACCCCCACCCCAGTGTAGTCCTAGCCCAAGAAAGCCACACTGTTTAGATTCCAGTGCATTGTAGCGCTGGATAACGAGAACGGATACTAGGGACTGTGTTTAGTAGAACCTGTGCCATAGCGTTCAGTGCCTTCAGGGGCGGCTCCAGGCACCAGCGCACCAAGCGCCTGCCTGGGGCGGCAAGCCGCGGGGGGCGGCCTGCCAGTCGCCGTGAGGGCGGCAGTCAGGCTGCCTTCAGTGGCATGCCTGCGGGAGGTCCGCCGGTCCCGCAGCTTCGGCGGCAATTCGGCGGCGGGTACGCCGAAGCTGCGGGACCAGCGGACCTCCCGCAGGCATGCTGCCGAAAGCTGCCTGACTGCCGTGCTTGGGGCGGCAAAATACATAGAGCCGCCACTGAGTGTCTTTAAAGAGGGGCCACATGGAGCTGAGACAGAGAAATGGACAATGTCTGCATGTTCTCTCTCTTCTGTGCAGACAAACCCGCCCATCAACATGCTCAGGCTGAGCTGTGTAACTCGGGTGCTCGCAAATCCAAAAGCGAGAGGATTGCTCCAGTGAGCACGTTCTAGCAGGTGCACATAGTATTCTTGCTCTGGGCAAGAACTGAGTGGACAG